TATTGCACAATAATCCCTCCAAAAACAAAAACAATAATAAATTGGTCATTTTCAATCTACGACTGTTTGTGGGACATTGCTGTGCGCAAGTGGCTGCTGCGTTCGCCCACAAATATACAGTCAATTCACTTTACAGTATATTCTGTGAAGCGTTTTGAGACATCTAGAAGACGTGAAAAGCGCTATATCAAATGCAAGGATTATTATTATTTTATTATAAATTAGCAGCAAACGGATTTGAAATCATTGTTGGCAACCATCCTTTTTCCCATCAATTACAGATTAAAACTGAGACAGTCGTGTTATCAGAGTTTCTCATGGAATGATTTTCCTAACCGCCCCCCCCACCTTACACACACACTTAATATTGGGGTTTGAGCCATTTTAGTTTCAGAATGTCAGGTGCTTGGGGATGCAACTCCTCAATTTTGGCAAACAGTGTCAGTACCAAGCAATGAACTTATGACATATAACATAAGACAGAAGCGGAGCAAATCTCTCTTAACCTCAAACTAAAAGAAATGTAAGTTTTTCCATTTTCTAAACCTGGTATCCTGATGGGCTTTCTGCAAAAGACTAGCAATCTGTTCTGCATTATGAGAGCTTTGTGAAATGGACTTTTATCCACTACAAACAAGGCTCATCCTGTCAAACTTATTTAACTAAGGTTCTTTCTAATCAGCAAAGGAGATTTTCATCACATTATTTTGGTCTGGATTCAAGCCTGGATCCCAGAGTCTGAGAACTGAAAGAACAATATGCTAACCAATTGTATCACTTAGTCTCCTTCTCTCCCCTTAATATTCTAGAATTAAACTGCATTTTAATATCCTGGTCCATTTCTTTTGATAACAGCATTTGAAAGACATATGGATTAGTTGGAAGTGCCAACTTAATTTTGTTCATATTTTTAAAAATATATTTCTTAATATATGATCGACGTTTAACATTCTAAAAACAGATCACTGCAGAGGATTGATGCTCTTGCATTATCTAATTCCAGTGTGGTTACCCACATTTGAAGAAAGGAGCCTTTTATCCTTGTTCTCAATTATATTTTAAAGATGTTGCAATGGAAAGAGCCTGGGTTGTTCCTCAAATTAAGCTGACGCCCAAAGCCATCAGCAGAGTAACACATGTATAACAACAACAACAAAATTATATTTGTATAGCGCCTTTCACTTCGGGAGGACGTCCCAAGGCGCTGGACAGACGGAGTTTCGGACCCGAGCTGGGGGTCGAGGTTGGGGAGGGTGGAGGGCAGGGGGAGAAGCAGGGAGATCGAAAGCACGGTCAAAGAGGAGGAACGTGCTTTTATGCATGGGACATGGCATGTCAAGCGAGTGCCAGGATGGTGGAAGGCAAACTAGATGGACTTTTGTCTTCTTTCACCTAGGAAATTCTTATGTTCTTATGTAGTTTTTAAAATATTTTACACAAAATATAAATCTATGAATGATTCTTGTAGCCAAGAGAAAAAATCTGAATGGGTCTTTTAAATGGTTACGTGATAGAGTATATTCTTTTTGCCAACAAAATACAGTCACTACACTTTACAATAAATCCTGTGAAGTGCTTTTAGACTTCCTCCTCATGGAAAGTACAATATCAAATGCAAGTATTATTATTTTATTATATCTTACTGTTGATATAAATGAACAAAAGGATGACGAAAAACAGATGAACTTTACTTGCGCAGTCACATTTATGAGCAGAGATCTCTTTGTGCTCTATCCATTCAAAACTTTTTATGTATGGTGTTGTATGGTTGCATGTGTTTTCTTGTTGAAATTTAAGAGCCTTACAGTTGAGCCTTTTTAACTGAAATTGATCTATGATTTACCCTGAAGATCTACTTTGTACAGACCTGCCTAATCAACACCCTCTGTTTACAACATAAGCTTTGCTGACAAGAGGCAATAGTTGCAGAAAGCTTATATCTTTCCTCAGACAGCTGGCCTTATTTTAACCTTTATTGCAAAATGTGTGCCAGATCGTTCTTGGTAAACACCCTCTGCTTACAACAGTTTGTAAATAATCATCAGCTTCATTTATTATGGCTGGCCCTTAGTCTTACATGGAGTGTTTATTTGCCAAAATGGAAATATTTTCTGCTGCAAAAAGGAATCCAGCAGTGATCACTGATGCCTCAACAAAACAAGAAATTTTAAAGAATATGTTTTTTATAGCGATGAAGGTGTACATTATGTAGGAATTAAATGTTCAAATGCTGATTTTTTCATAATAAATATGTTAAGATTTGCATTTTCTACAAAATACAATCTCTCCACTTTACACAAAATCCTGTGAAGCATTTTGAGACCCGATAAAGTGCTATATCAAATGCAAGGTTTATTATGATTATAAGCTAGGAATAATGTGAAGCTGTATTATGTAACCTTTAACTGGAGAGTTCTAAAGAGACTGCTGTCTCTATCGGCTGACTGGATTTGTACATTTTCAGCTCACACATTAATATTGAAAGAAACACTAATATTACAATAATGAAGCTGCTTAAATGTTTGGAATTTCTTAACTACAGTTCTGTAATATTACTATTACTGTTATATATTATTTTTGGGTGTGCTTGACAAAATTCCCCATTGACAGCTCTCAAGCAAATACATTTGTCCATGGCACTGGAAAAAATAATGTAAAAAGTACCCTTTAAATATATGTACTATACAACACCAATATACTCATTTCAACAGTGCGTAATTGTTGCTTAACATAATATTCTTTGGACTAGACTCAATATGAAACATTTAGCAGGAATTGAAACATGGGGTGTGGGAGTAGGCTGCATAAATCATTATTTTGCAAAATGAAAATTTTATTCTGAAGTTATAATTTTGTGAAGGGCAGAAAATTATCGTTCACTGGATCCACCTCCCTCGCCCCCACCCCCCCACCCATCTTTGATTTGGTTTCTCTTTTACTCAAAACATTTCAATTGCCAATAGCTTTGCATGGAGTTCTCATCTTTGTTGCACATTTAATCAAGGTTACATCCTCCACATAAAACCTAAATCCTAAAGGAAATACTGTGAGAATTTTCCCTGAACACTGAGCAAGCAGAAGTTCCCCCTGGTAATTAACTTTCTTCTTATTTACAAAAGATTGGTAAGGTAAAAGGCTTTCCCTTTGAAGCTGCAATGTTAGCTTTCGAATGAGACTTTGGAGTACTGCGTTTTTGCTTCAAAATGTTTGCATGAACATTTCTAGGGATGTCCTCTTGGCGTGAAAGGAGCTATACAAATGTAATTTGTTGTTGTTGCTTTTGGCTGCATAAATTGTATAATTCTTTTACAAAATGAAAATTCAGATCTAAAGTTATCAGCATTTGTAGGACTCTTTCAAGCTCTTTGAGTTTGAATAACAAAGGCAATCCTGAATTAAATGGTATCTCTGCATTTACCTATTTTACTTTATTAATTAAAATTCCCTCACATTTCCCAGCACTGATTTTGTCCATTGTATCAACACGAGAACTCAAATCAGAGTACTATAGGGAGTATCGATCACATNAAAAAATGAAAAGACCTTCAACTAACAGCTACACTATATTCACTATATTGTATTTCCAAACTGTGATGCTATAGTAATTTTGAGGCCTAGTTTAAAATACAGTCTGTCGGTTTCATAACTCTAAATGATTTAAATGCAGTACATTGTTTTAAAAATACAGTACAAGTTTTGATTTATATAGCACAATTCATGTTGGGAGGATGCGCCAAAAGCACCCTGAAAGGTCTTGAAACAGATCTTTCCTTTGGGTGGAGAGGGCAGTAAGCAGGGTGTCCTTGGAGCTGAATTGGCTCCAAAATGGCATGTTTGGCAATGGAATGTCAGGATCGAGCCAACTCTCTGCGGTGATCTCGGGTAATCCAGTTCCTGTGCCATGTGGCTCCTCAGTACTCCAGCGCAGCTCAGCCAGTCTGGCTCATTGGCAAGCTATGCGCACTCTGGGATCCCCAAACCTTGGCTCTTGACAATGTGCACCTAATATTCTCTGGAATTAGGTAAGCAGAATGCATCCATCCATCCAGGGGGAGGGTGTGCATTCCATTCCAATAAATATCTCAGGAAGTTCTATGTATAGGTGAGTAACAGTAGCTGTAGCTACTGTGGAGTCATGAAGCTCAGTGGTTAGAGCACTCGCTTTGCAAGTGAGAGACCCGAGTTCAATTCCAGGCAGAGGGCGAAACCTTGGGCAAGTTTCCTTACTCCACACAGAGCCTAATAATAATCCCTCCAAAACCAAAAACAATAATAAAATTGGGCATTTTCAATCTACGACACTTTGTGGGACATTGCTGTGCGCAATTGGCTGCCGTGTTCGCCCACAAATATACAGTCAATTCACTTTACAGTGTGTTCTGTGAAGCGCTTTGGGACGTCCTCCCGACGTGAAAAGCGCTATATCAAATGCAAGGATTATTATTATTATTAACAGAACTCTCAGTTTTGTTTGATACTTTTTAAGTAGGGCGATGGGTTTTTGCATGTGTCAGACACCTGGCTGACAAAAAAAAATTGAGACAGATCTTGGACAAAGTGAAAGAGGAAGCCATTCAGAGGGGTCAACTGAATAATACTGTTATGACAGAATTCAGTATTTTCACTTTATTAATATCTTTAGTTTTAAATTTAAAAAATAATTTGGAAACTGAGTACTTAATTACAGTTAAGTTTATTTCTGTTCCCTTTGTACTCATTTCATGTTCATTGTGACAAATGATAGTGACCAGTTTAATTGAATTCATAGTTTACATTTCACATTTAACCAGAGACACATTAAACATCATCAAAAAGTTTATATATGTTAAATGCTGTATTCAGCAGATATATTTATTAGCACAAGCTTCTATATACAGTACTAGCATATCAAAAATGTAGCTATGAAAATGTTGTTTTGTTGGTACTATTGTCTGCACTTTCATTTAGAGAAAATCTTTTGTAAATTAGTAAATAATAAATTGTGTGTTTGGATTTCACAGAAATTTCAACAAAAAGTTCACCAGATTTCCAAGCCTGAAAGCCTATCAAGTCTTGACAGCCTAGAGACTGGGGGACAAGAGTTAGTTCACACTAAACCACATGTTTCAATTACCTTTAAAGCAGAAAATGATAAATCATCCAATATAATAAGACCACATCCACCAATAAACAATCTTTTTGATTCTGTGAGTAACAATGTCAATGATGTCCTGAAAAAGGAATATGTAAATGCCTGGATTGGTCATTTAGTTGGTCAAAATGGTGAGACTAATAGGTCTTCCCAGGAAATTAGAATGACAGATCAACTTGATTTAATAAATGCAGAGAATGGTTTGAATAGCAACCAATATATGCTGGAATCTATTCGGAAAAAATTGAATGGCAATGACTTAAACCCAATTGCTGCACTTAAAACACATCAGCATCTACATTCAACTTATTTTCCTAACAGTCAAATTGAAGAGAAAATAGAAGATAGCTGTTCCCACCCTGTACAAAACTATTCGAAAAGTCCAGTTAAAAGTACAAGTTCTATCAGCCAACTGCTAGTCCTGCAGGAATACCTTCCAAAGCCTGGGCTACACCACTTTCAACACCTGAGAAAACAACACAACGTCCATCAAAGCAGGAGAGATTAGAATTTGTGCAGGAAGGGAAAACTGCATCAGTGAATATTTTAAAACAGCCCTCAACACCTGTGCTTTTATCCCCAAGACAGAAATTGGGTAATTTTTCACAAGTGTGCACTGAAAGAACTGAAACTAAGAATGTAAAAGACGGTAGAAAAATCCATGAAATACATCTACAAACAGACACTACAGCAAGTAGTACCAATGATTATTTGTTTTTCACCTCAAACAAAACCATTGATCTTTCCAGCAAAATTGAGGAAAATATTATCCTTTCTGATAAAGATAACTTCAGAGGAGGATCTGATATTAAAGCAGCCAATCACGGATCTGTTCCACCTCAGGTAACTTGTAATTCATGCAAATCTCACTGCGAAAATGATGTGGTCGAGGAAAAGGCAATTGAACTAGCACCAAGCACATCATTGACTACTAAAAGTTTGAAAGCCAGCAAGAATGAAACTAAGAATTGCATTTATGAAAAAAACAATCTAAAACGACTGAAGGGAATACTTAAGAAGGTGTCAAAGTATGACAATTTTCTTTGCAAATCTCGAGTGACTACCACTGGTGTTTTTGGAATTCAGCTGGCATCCTCTGTGAGGGACAGTGTTGAACTAGCAAAAATGAAAGAAAAGGAATCCGAGCCACATCTAACCAAGAAAAAACTGAGGTGGTTTGATGAAATTGAACAAACCAACCAGCTAAAAGGTGGGAAGCTTGAAGAAATGGAAAGTACAGGGCAGATTAAAAAATCAGAATTAAACTATCAGACTCAATTGCAGTCACCAAGTTCACAAATGAATGGCTTTATTGCCAGTGAAAATCCAATTGTAAATAACAAAGAAGCAAAAAGGAACACACCAAGGTCTGATTACAAGACTGCTACGAATTCCAATCTCCTTGGCCACCAGGAAAGTCAGTTTCAGACGCCTGTCACTGTGACAGCTCTTAAAATTTCAGACACAGCCTCTGTTAATCAAGGAGTAGCCTCATTTGTGTCCACTGGATATCACTTTACTAAACCAGCTTGGGCAGCAACAGGGGTCAGAGGCACAAACAGCAATCATTCCAAACCTGAGAAGCCCTCAGTACCAAAAAGACGAACCAAAGTGGTTTGTGGAGCTCGTTCTGCAAAGGCTCAAATTGGTACAGGAGCTACCTACAGGAAAGGTACTATGATCCATCCCCAATCTGTTACTAAAGCAAGTAAAATATTCATGTTTGATGGTAAAATCATTATACCACATCCTCCACCAAAACCTGCCATAAACAAGAAGCAATTTCAGAATCCAGTTGCCACTTTTAGCAGTGGTGGACAATCACAAATAAATCCTGCTGGATTTCCTGCTAACACTATCGACATTTATTCTAGTGCAATGAAAAGAGATATGCCAGAAGAGCATAATAATAGAGGCAGTGCAGTAGTCTCAGACCTTTGGTCACAGGGTGAGCCTTCCAGTGCCATCAGAACATTCACTCCACCCTGCTCAATCTCTCCTGGCGAAAACTGCGCTAAGGCACAATATTTAGTAAATCCTAACCAGGCATTAGATCAACAAATCAACTTAAGGAATTGCACCAGAAGAAGCCCTGTTTATGGAGAGAATGGATTGCGTTTGGATCACACTCCAACTGATGAAGAAATTACACAGCTTTGGAATGGAGTACGCTGTGCTTTGACACAAAGGGACTCAGCAAGTGGTAAGAACTGGATGTAAAATGCTTTTTCTACGAGAAATAGTTATAAATTCCATTGTTATAGTTGGCAAAGTAAATAACTGTTTTACAATAGTAAATACAAAAAAGTAGATAACTTTGGTTTTGCAAACATTGCAATAATTGTATTTTTAAGTTTTAAGGAGTCAATAATAATCCTTGCATTTGATATCGCACCTTATCACATCGTTGAGATGAGTCAAAGTACTTCACAGAATATATTGTAAAGTGGTTTGACTGTATTTTGTGGGCGAATCGTAGCAGCCAATTGTGCATAGAAGTGACCCACAAAAAGTTGCGGATTGAGTGCTCAATTTTTTTTGAGGGTTTCTTACCCTCGAAAAGCGATCCGCCAATTAACTAACAACCAGGATCCCACTTACTGCTAGACAAAAGGAGGTGCATGGAGTAAGACAACTTGTCTAAGATTTTAATTAAAGTTAAACCATTAGCTCTGCACAAACCACAATAATCATCAAACCTCTTCTAATAACTGAATTAATCTCAGCTCTACCATACTTTTGTATGGGCGAGGGGTTCTTTTCTCCTAGTTTATACCTAGAAATGTTTATGGACATAATATGCAGCCTGCTGTACAGAATTGAAGTGGTTTCTTTCCATCCAGCAATTATGATTAATTTGTCATTTGTGCCCATTTTTATTTTTATACAGTCTTGGAAAATTTATATTCATTAGGGAGCCCACTATTGCTATCTTCATAATTTGTGCACAACCTTCACAAGCTATGAAACTGGTGATGTACCTTTAAAACTGCAATGTATAACAATGACATTTCCATTTGTTTTACAAGTGGCGAAGATTCAAAATATAATAGTAATTCCTCACAAATCTAACTACCGAGGTATTACACTTTAACTCTAATCTGTATTCTGTTCTCATGTTTCATTGATTGAAAGTAGGATATTTGGGGATGAAAATTGTCTTATTTTATATTTAATCTTTTTTTGGTCAGGTTTTGTCTGTTACGCAGAAACCAACACCACACTCATAATTATTCCAAATCAGAGATTCATATATGGATCCCATTTAAGCATGGGAATTTCCCTTTGTCTGGATTTTTAAAAATATTTGATCCGTACTTATTTTTAGGATTAAAAGACTGGTTGTACTTGGAGAGAGGCTAAAGGCAGTTTGTGTGATGTTAGAAGTATTGAAGTATATTCTGTGCTTTTATTTTAATTTTAGTACAAAATACCCACCACATCAATCATTTGAACAAATCCAAAACAGTGAGATACAGGACCAACAATGTTGCTTTTGTCTGCACACTTTGTGCATCTGCATTGATGCTGAACATGTTGAACAGACTTCAAAAGCCAACCATCCAAAATGGAAACATTATATCCATTGTTATTATCATGGCTGTGATCTGTTAAAATGAATTATGCCAGCAATCTAGACATCTAGAAGACGTGAAAAGCGCTATATCAAATGCAAGGATTATTATTATTATTATAATCTTGTCATATCCACAAAAGATGCTAAAGCAGAAGAATCTCCAGGCTCATTGAAAATCCATGTTATTGCTGCTCCTGTCTCCCACCCACTAATAGCGTATCTCTGGGATTGGTTCTGAAAGGTACATGGAAATTAAAATAAGCGAGTTAATGTTATAAACCATTGATCCTTTGGGTTTATTTTGCAGTCTCACAACAGAATTTTATGGCAACTTTATATATGAGTAAGTTTAAAATTTTAGGAGCTCTGCAAAACTCTATTAGGATTCTTGGCGGATAATGCATCCAACTCTTCACAAGAGTGTAATGCTGTGTCTACTCTGTTCATGAAGATCAACTAAAACATCAGCCCATAATTTGAATTCTAATGAAGGACAATGTTTGAAATATCAGCTTAGCTTTTTGTTTTCGATGCTGATTGGCCTGCAATTTCCAGTGATTTATTTTGGATTAAGAGCTTCTATAGTTTTCTTCTTCAGTTCAAATACCTGTATGTGGATATCAGTTTTATGGACTTCAAAACTGAATTTGTTTAAGTCCCGCTTCTCCAACAGCTTTTTGCATAAGCAGACTTTCTCCTTCTCTAAGGTGTGACGACGATTGTTTTGCACCTGCTCTATGATCTTGCAAATGGGTCATGATGGAGGCAAACAATAAGCCCCTATGTTACTGAATGTATGTGTGTGTGCGCTCTACCAAGACTTCTAAGTAACTCCTTTGGCATGCTCCAGCAGATTATATACCAAAATAAATACTAACATTATTTACAACAGAGTCATTTAACTAAAGTCAGATATCGATCTGTGTGTCTGTCTTTTAAACATTGATTTGGTTTCTGGGTTAAGTGTATAAAGTTAAAACAAAACAATTGGTGACATGAAATGTAAATTTCCCATTTAAGGTGATTGTGGAAACTATGTAGCATCCTGCAACAATAGCCATACAATAAATCTGCAACCCTCACAGATGATTGTTCCCCATGTAACGATTGATGGAGGCAGCTTGTTCAATAAAGTAAGATCGGCTTCCAGAATGCGTGGATTCTTTTCTGCACCATCCAGTGGTAAGAATATTTCAATGCATTGCAGCACTGTAACTGGGTATCAACAGTGTATATAGTGCTTCATCCCACAGTTGCACCCTCCCCCCCATTCTAATCTTCTTTGAGATGCAGATTAACTTGAGAAGATAGTTTTGCCTCTATGATGTAAATATGCAAAATGCAAAATGGGTGGCAATCAAAAGGGCCCCTAAATTCACTTGCACAGAGCTCTCCTCAGTCCCCAGCCCAAGACAAATTGAGTGCACAATATAACTCCAATAATAATAATAACTTCCCACTCCAAGTCATTTGCTGTAGAAAATCAGGCATTAGTGTGGTTCTCTCATAGAATAAACAAGCATAGTAAGTAGTTTAGATCAGGTCAATAAATGGAGTTAAACTGAAGAAACATCTATTTCCATCTCACAGGCCAAATTATTAATCAGTAAATTATCCACAGTAGTTTAGTTGTCATATTTTATGTAATGCTATTGATGCAATGTTATGAAACATAGCACTAGTATCCATTTATTCTGACTGAAAGAAAACTACTGGAACGATGAGATCAGATGGGCCGAAGAAATTTGCAAAAAGAACATAATTTAAAGTAAAATCAATGCCTATTGCCTATTTATTAAACATATCACTACGATTATGCATGTCTCTTAATCAGCTAACATACTGAGTATTTCAGCTATTCATTTTTGTTTTAACTTTTGATTGCTTTAATTCCTGAAGCTGCTACTAGAAGAAAATACTACACAGAGTCAGCCAATAATGATTTCAAACACAGAGATTTTTTTGAGCAAAGAAGACTGATTCCTGCACGTGAACCTGTTTTGAAAAGACAGGTATCTTCATATTACATCTTGTTTCGTAAAATTATATTGTATCCCAGTACCATAATTTTAGTTTTAGAAAATCTATCCATCAAGGATACCTCAGCCTATACTTATGAGATTGTTGGGTCAGGTGTAAATTTCACTTCTGAATACAAACAGAAGTAATTTTTAATTTTCTCTTGTCTTTTTAGAATTCAGTGAGGAACTTCCAGATAAATCCATATCCAAGTACATTTGAACCAGTTCAAGCAGCAAATTCTGTTCAAAACAGTGAAGAAGGTACATACTTCATCTACAAGTTAGAAGATGATTCATCTGGTGCAGACTGATTCATATGTTTGCATTGTTTCATTGATACCACACACCACTCATTTTTTTTTAGTACAAAGGTAACCAGTTGTAATGAAAACAGTGTCTAGTGCAGCATACAAGTAGGAAGTTATTGGAGCAATGAGGAGGAATATCTGTTATATTATGATAAACAATTGCTTGTCCCTGTTTCTCTTTAAACAATAGTTCTAAAAGGATATGATTAGTGATGCTGTGCAGTGCCACTTATAATGGAATTTTAAGTATTTTAATTTACTATTTGATAATAGAATGGTGGTAACAGGCAAAAAACTATAACAGTTAAAAACCTTGCTTGTGCTTCTAGTTTTGTTTGGTACAAGCAAATACAGCCAATTTTGCAAACTGATACATTCTACCTTTTGTGCCACACTTGTGCTGATTCTGAAGCAAGCATAGCTTATCAGAGTGAGAAAACTGTTGTTTTAAGAACCGAATAAACAATTTTCCTTGCTTATCTTCAGTTTCAGAAAGTACTGCCCAGTTTATGCTAGCAGAAAATCTGGTAAAAATGCATACTCCTGATAATGATATCTTGGCTGCTATGGAAAAGATACAGACACAGCGACGTGCTTTTCTTCAGCACAAAGTACAGCATTTTGGCCTCAGTGCATTATCCTTCGAAGAACAAAAACTTCTCCAATCATTGGATCGTCTCAACCAGAGATTGCAGTGTAAGTGGAATCAATCCAACAAAGGAAAGAATTGTTTACTTTTTGAAGGGTTGCATTGTAGAACCAAATTACAACCACAATTTCTAATTTATTGTTTGGCATCACACGTATCGCAGTGTTGTTTCCATTTTTCATACTGCAAAATGATTCTTGATATTTTACTTTACACAATACTGTAAAATAAGCCAGATGCCATTTGCAAAAGTTATCTAAAGAAGAAAATGGGAATATTACCTTTTTTTTAAGATCAGATTAAACAGCAAGGTGTTTACTGTGGATAACTAACGATGTACAATAGGTTTTGGTGGCCTTCACAGTCCAGTCCAAGTATGCTTCAGTAGGGAAGGTCTGGTCCTTTTTCTCTTCTCCCTTGAGATGCTGTCACCAGAGTCTTGAAAACACTTCTCCAAATAATAATAATCCTTGCATTTGATATAGCGCCTTATCACGTCTTTGAAAATGTACTAAAAAGTGAATTGACTATATATTTTGTGGGCAAAACGCGACAGCCAATTGCATACAGCAGTGTCCCACAAACAGTCGTGGATTGAGTAACTGAATTATTATCATTATTTATTTTTAAAAGTAATCATAGCTAACTCCTCTAATATGGAGATCACCCTTGTTGCTCTCCTCTTCATTGCCTGTAGGACATGGGCAGCTCCCTTGTATCACAGCGACTAGAACTGTACTCAGTACTCCAGGTGTAACCTGGCCAGGATCCCTATCAATATAAATAGACAAGCTAATAGTTTGTGCTGTAATTATTGCTTGGTAGTTTTGGTGAGGTTTAAGCAAAATACTGTATTTGCTGAGTAAATTTAAACAACAATGCTTTGTTCCTCAATCATTATTTAGATGTTCAAGAAACATTTGGGTCTAACCCATCTACTGGCCTTTTACAGATTTCATCTCCTTTTGTAAGTAAAATATATTTTCTTATGCTTGATATTTCTTTCAATTGCATTTTCCTATACCAATTGCAGTTGGTATTGTTTGATATAAGACTCAGAAAGTTTTTTTGGTTAGGAGAGATAAATAGCAGAGCTAATCATAACTTATTTCAAAAGATACCTTTGTTTATTTAAAAATGAATCCAATATTTATTGATTAACTTCCTTTAACTAGAAAAATAATTAGCACACCTAACAGGAACATGGTAAATGATTTCTGTGAGTTTACGCCATGAGAAATAAATAAACCCTAATTGTATATTTGTGATATTTAAACACCACACAAGATCTAAACTCAGTTCTATTTTTGGAAAGAAGGAGATAAAATGTTTATGGCAAAAATCCTTGTAACCAGTAAAGTTCTCCGTCTTAAAGCGTTTATTACTGCAATCAACAAAAATAAATGTATGTGGAACCTTCAGGCAAGGGGAAGAAACACACACAGTGACTGATAAATTGCTTTTGTCTTTGTCCTGCTATAACTGTGGTGTAAAATTAGTCCTGTCAAAATATGGATTGAGGTTTAGCATATCTGTTACTTTCGGCCACAAAATATACAGTCAATTCACTTTACAGAATATTCTGCGAAGTGCTTTGAGACTTCTCGAAGATGTGATAAGGAGCTATATCAAATGCAAGGATTATTGTTATTATTATTTCAGAGTCTTGCTTGTCAGATTGGTTTCCAGTTCCATCCTGCTGTTTGTACCATCTAATCACAAAAATGTTCATTTAGTTTCTTTTGGCTTAAATGTTCAAATTACATTAATAACCAATCAGCCTAGACTCCTACTATTCACGTTAAATCTAGTTAAATACTTATCCCAAGATGCCACTTTGAAAGATGATATTTACAATTTATATTTTCTGGAAAAATTATACTTTTCCTTTTGACATGTTTGATTTATTTAATTGCAAACTTCCTGACCAAATGTTTCTTTCAGACTGTACAAACTGGGATTTCTGGCCAAGCATCCAGGCCAGGACAAGAGGTCACTTCTACACAGAGACCTCAAAGCCTCTCTGCTGATAATCATGTGCGCATTCAGAGGAGGTAATAAAGAAATGGACTATTCTCTACTGGCAACTTCCTGTGAGGTGCTGCACATAATTTACTCTGTAGAATGGACTTTTTTTCTGAGTACATTTTTCAATTAAAGAATATAAAGTATGAAGTTTATTATGCACTTTAAAAAAAAAGCCAATTTATTTTTTTAGTCAGTTGTTTGTTATAAATGTTATCTTACCTCAGTGACTGTAAGAGAGAAGTACATCAACATCAACTAGCACACTTTCCTGTGTTGACACAGAAAATATTAGAAGAAAGTGCTTGGAATATTCTACCTGACTGATGTGACAGGAAAATATTTTGTGTTGCATGTGATCCCTGGAGTTATTTGTAGTTGGATGACTTGAGCTATTTTGCTCCAAGTTCAGGTGTTCAAGATTACTTTTTGACATGTGGTAATACATTTTCTGCAGATGCTCACATGGGCAACCCAGTGAGAGAAAGCCAAAGACAGCTTAGCCTGTCTGATTCCTCACACGGATTACCAAATGAGAGTTACTTGATTTAACACCAGTGTGCTTCTTTATCAATGACCTAGTAAATTATTTAATAAACTTATCACATACACGTTATTTTGGAAGTAGACCCAATACGGACTGGATTTTTGTTTGGATAAAGTTTGAAAATATTTACTAATTTAACATTGGTTCTTTCATTCAAAACAATTAACACAATCAAGTATGAGAATGCTTTGTTTGATAGATGAAGCTGCAAGCACTCACTGCTATAGAGTAGCCATACCAATAATAATAATAATAATATAATAATCCTTGCATTTAATATCTCGTTCATGTGAATCCTGCGTTTGGATTCTGTTTAAAAATCAGTTTCTACACCCGCACTATCAAATAGAAAATGATTTAAAGAAATCAAGATAATGCCCTTAAGAAAGAAAGACTTGATCTCACATTTGTTTCTTCTACCTCCACTGTCTAATTTCTAACGATGTATTACTTCTAAGTAAATCAAATATTTTTTAAAATGTAGCACACAATGCCCAAGCATCTCCATTGTCAATACTAGAGAAAAGCAATTACTGAAGCTCTGATGCATTAACCTTCCCCTCTTAGACATCGACTAATGATATTCTGTTGTTTGTCACTTAAAAACTTTGTGGATGGTTGGCCCAGTCATTATGTGGTGACTATTACTGTAATATTTTTTTCAGAAAAAAGTTTTCTTCTTCGAGCACTTAAATATGAACAGTATAGAGCATTATCCTCAATTATTTCTTTAATTCTATGTTTTGGCATTAGTTAAGTTACAGTTTTAAAAAAAAATCAATGCTGAATGCTCTGTGGGTACACAGAATAATGTTAATTACAGCTTTGAAAGTAAGTAACTACTTGGTGATTTAGTATTTTGGTAATATTGTCCTAGTATATTGCTCTAGGCACCACATTATAGAACAGATATAAAGCTACAGAGTGGTTGCAGTCTAGATTCACTGAGATAAATCTGCCAGCAAGCATATAGTTATGACCAAAGGCTCAAAATACTATAGAGTAAAATTCACTGAAACAGGGAAAGTTGAGGATATCTATAAAAGTGTACAACAACAACAAAATTACATTTGTATAGCGCCTTTCATGTGTATGAAAGGGTTTGTGAGGATAAATAGTAAAAGATTATTTACACCGATTGATGAATCATAGCAAGAGGCATAAATCCAAGGTCATTATTGGAAGCATAACACTACCACTATGAAACTGAGGCTAAATTATATAATTTAAAAGGAATTATCATAATAATCCTTACAAATGACATAGTGCCTTTCATGTCAGCACAATGTCCAAAAAGCGCTTCACAAGGTTGTACTATAAAGTGCAGTGATGGTCTTTTGTGGACGAATTAGATTTTGAATTTGAAGACATAAAAGGGAATGAGGAAGAACAGGAGATTGGGTTAAAGTAGATAACTCCAGTTGGGAGTTAGAATGACACAGGCACTTTTCTTCCTCTGTGCTATATTTTGTATAATTTGCAGCAGTTATGATTTTAAATATAATAAGCAACATTTTTTGACTTTGGAACTATGATTCTATGATAAGTAGAATCCTATATGTTGTCTCTCTCCGTAGATGCAAAAAGAGTGCAATAGTCTTTGGTGTTTGATTAAATGCACAGATTATTTGCACAGCATAACTGCATTGCTGTAAATCACTCTTTCAGTTCTTACTGTCTCTATGCAAACCTATCAAGAACAGGCTTGCAGATTGTATCTGGTCTTGCAGCTGTTCTCAATAGATCAGCGAGATATAGAATCTGATTTTTCTCGTTGATCAGAACCATTTGGTTTCAGATTTGTTGAACTTTGTACCACATTGAACAATCTGTTGGTTCACTCCGTAAAAATTCTGTTCTTGTTGTCGGGGTGGCCGGAAGAACTGGTATTTCTTACTTATACTGAACGAGATTCTTACCTCTCAGTTTACATAAGAAACCTGCAGGTGTGCATTTGTAGTGGTTTATGTATCTAGCATGAATATGTAAATGTATTTTGATAGTGTCCTTTTTACAATGCTAATCTGAAATTGAAGCTTTTTAATATATATTGAACACAGAAAGTTTACTTCACTAATGATGTTAACATTATGCTGTAATTGAAGAGTTTTGCATTGTGATTTGAAATCAATATAGTGTAATCAGAAAGAGGATAAACCTAATTTAAAGTATTCAATGAAATCTGTAAACCCCACTTATAATCCAATTTTAGCATTGATTTGACATCACAAAGATTTGGGAAAATGTTGCTTGTTGCTATCAGAATGGCAGTGCATTAATCTGCATGTATGTCCAAATTATTAAATTGATTCCAAATTAAGTGCTGTAAAAGGACAATGTTACGCCAGTCTACCTGTTCACATTCACTCTACTGCAGAAAGCGATGTCACACCACTTTCTGCAGCATTTAAAGGAGCACAAACTTGGATTTTGCTTTGTTCCATTGTTGCTTTATTGTAACCATTTCAAAGTGCTGAGCATTAACCCTGCTTTACAAACAGTTTTGTTTGATCAAATTGTTACAGGACTCCCAACTTCAGACATTGTCTGATATATTTAAGTTTGCAACATTCATGCTTAATTATACAAGATCTGTAAGAATCTTAATTACTGCCTGATTAATGCTGTTGACGTGTACCATTATCTGAAATGTATTTGCCTTACATATTCTGATCCAATTGCTCAATTAATTTTTTAACAGAACAAATCTACATTTATAATATCTAGTATCATAAATACATCTAATCTCTTGAAAATGAGAAAACTGATATAAAATATAGTATTTGAGAAAACATTAGTCTGCAATCTTAACTACAGACTGTAATTTGTGCTCCTATTCTTTAAGTTGCATACTTACGGTTTAGAATAAACAGGAAATAGGAACTTTCATTATTCATCTGAGGATAATTACAAATATGACACCGAGGTTACTATGAAATATGATACCTCAGTGATCTTAAACACATCCAAGTTACAATCCTGACTGACTTACACAGGTTTTGTGAACCCATCACCTCCATCTTGGCTTGACTCCACTGGCTCTCTATCGAATTCAAGATTTTTGTCCTAGCTTTTCCTCCACAATTTCGCTCCACCCTAATTCTGTGACCTTATTGCCCCAACCACTCCCTCCGGTCAGCAAACACTGATCTGCTTCATGTCTACTATATGATCCCATTATTACCTCCACCACTGGGTTGAAGGGATAGGTTTTCACGAGGCAATAAAAGACAGCTTGAGAGGGGCATGGTGGAGGTTTCAAGGAAGAGATGAATTAATTCCTTCTCTGAGTGAATGTTTCAAAAACAAATGTCTAATAGTAACGTTTGTATACATTTACCATATGTATTTCCTGCTAATCCAATTAAACCAATCATTATTTATAATTCAGTGGTATGGAGATGAATATATTGTTGCAACTGCTGGCATCAATATGCCTGACTTCAAGCAGAGTGAAGTGGGCTGCTCTCATAGTTCATGAACCTGTCTTATCTAAAGCACTCTAAGTGATTCTCTCTTTAAAGACAAGTTACTTATTCTTATCAATTATTCTCATGGGAATGATAGAACAAATGTTATATTTCTATGGGTTCTTCAGTCAGGCAATTTGATGTGTATTCACCAATACAATACCTGATTTTTCTGTATATTGCAATATACAAAAATGTGTTTGTGCATGTATGGTGATGCATTAACAGGGCTCATTGGTGTTGAGAGTGAGTTTTAAAATTCCTACATTGCAATTTCCCAATCCTGGCTAAGTCATCAGAGGCATCAAAGAAACAAAAAGAAAAAAGATTCTTTGCATTTGATATAGCGCCTTATCACGTCTTCAAGGCATCTCAAAGCGCTTCACAGAATATACTGTAAAGTAGATTGACTGTATATTTTGTGGGTGAAACGCGGCAGCCAATTGCTGACAGCAGTGTCCCACAAACAGTCGTGGATTGAGTGACCAATTTATTATTATTGTTTTTTTGAAGGAATTATTACCCCCAGAAAAGCGATCCACCAATCGACTAACAACCTGGTTCCTACTTACTGCTAGGTAATGAGTGGTGGGTAGAGTATGGAAACTTGCCCAATGTTTCGCCCTGCCGGGAATCAAACCCAGGTCTCTCGCTCGGGAGGCGAGTGCTCTAACCACTGGGCTACAGAACTCCAAAAGCTAATAAAGACTACGAATGCTCAACTCAAGAGCAACACCCTTGCCCTCAGACCCCACTCTTGAATGGTACTAGAAAAGTTAAAGAAATAAAAGCTGAGAGCTCTCCAGCAGATGAAACCAAGGCATGAACAGTTAAACAAACCTGAAATTTCTTTCTTTTTATCTCTTTCTTGTCTTTCTTGTTGCTTCACTGCCTCAAGGTCGTCATAATACAAATACATGATTTTAAAATTGAAAAGTTCGCAATGGAAGAATGTTGTGCAGGTTTATTTATTAAGCGATATATCTCCCTGTCTGTTTTTCAAAAGATCCAAAGTACAGCAAAATTATCTGGATTATAGATATATTGTATCAATACATTAACAAATTTTAACTTAGTACGTAATATAAAAGCTGTGCCAAGATATTTTCAGTTTGGGAAACTATCTGTCATAGTTTACCTTAACAAGTGAAACAGTGGCTTGGTTGTGTAGATATGATTGTGATTGTAAAAACTTAGCCTCACCTTTAACAAGTTTAGCACAAATTCAAATATATTCCAAGAATGTTTGGGATTGGTCTCCAGGCTCCACCTTCAGAGCAAATCAAGGCAGAATAGATTCCAAAAGAGCTTTGGATAAGGAAGCCCTTTGGCCCATTCACTCTCATCCTTCCAGATACCAGCCTTCCCTTCCTCCCATTTACAGCATTGAGCTGCTTCTTAAATCAGTGTGTGCTGCATTGTTGGAGGTTCTGTCCTTCAGATGAGATGTTAAACGTGTCTGCTTGTATGGTTGGACATTAAAGATCACATATCACTATTCAAACAGAGAAAGGAGTTTCTCCTGGTGTCCCAGCCAACAATCACCCAAATAAAATAGGTTACTCATTGCATGGCTGTTTGTGGACCATTGCTAATAGTTACTCAAAAATAGTTGCCACAATGCCCAGATTGAAAAATACACAGTCAATCTACTTTACAGTATATCCTGTGAAGCAATTTGAGACATCCTCCGGAAGTGAAAAGCATTATATCAAATGTAAGGATTATTATTACTTGCATTAAACACAAATAAAATAGTTTTTTTAATAATAATCATCCTTGTATTTGATATAGTGCCTGTGACATCAATATATCAAAGCAGTCCCACAGAACTGCATTGGGCTGTCAACCTAGAATACCCCTTCTACATGCCTAATTTACAGATATGTTAGCAAGTGCACTGCACTGACCTTTTGACTGGGAATTATAATTAACAATAATAATCCTTGCATTTGATATAGCTTATTATCGCATCACTGAGACATCTCAATGCGCTTCACAGGATATACTGTAAAGTAGATTGACTGTGTATTTTTTGTGTGAAACACGGCAGGCAGTTTGCACACAGTGTCCCACAAACAGCGATGGAATGAGTGACTTTTTTTATTTGGGGATTATTGGTCAGCACATTGGAAGCAACTTCCATCTTTTTTCTCTCCCTTCTCTAGAGCCCTAGGATATTTAATGTCAATCTGAACAGGCAGACGGAACCCTCGGTTTAAAGTCTCATCCGAAGGACAGTGCCTCCAACCATGCCACACACCCCTAGCACTGCATTGGAGTGTCAGTTTAGACTATGCGAGTCCAAGTCCCAATGTGGGGCTTGAACCCACAACCTTCTGACTCAGAAGAGAGAGTGCTACTATTGAGCTGAAGTTATCAAATTCAATGAATGGTATGCAAAAGGTTTTAATGGCTACAAATGATTTGGTTCCTGTGTCAACTCTGCACCAGTAAGATCAAGGTGAACCTAGCACAACCTAGCACAGGTGAACCTCTTGTCTGCACAGTGGCAATTGTGGAAGCTTTCACAAAGAAGCTAAATTAAAGAGAACAAGGTACCTGTTCACACTGGGACTTGATCCCACATACTAAACATAGAGATTTGTTAAGAAGAAAACAGGTTATGAACATATCTTTTAGTGTTTTTTTTTCTATGTATATTTTCATGAACAATAAGAAATTCAATAGTATGAAAGTTGCAATAGATTAATATATATATGTATATACATATGTGTGTATTTGAACCCAGTAAGATGTCTGTAAATATGCTACATGCACTGTGTATAACATTAAAATAAATGTATATCAGGTATGTATGTACATTATAAACTTATGCACGTTTCCCACACATACCAATGCAGCTCGCTAAAGGGCTTCTAACAATTGAAGATAACAGTAACGCGTGACTATCCTATGGTGGGGCGGGGGAGCTTGGTCTCCCTGGAGCTGAACTTCCTGTGGCTGATTCCAACGTGATGTGCTTGACAATGGAATGACAGGGTCACATCAACCCTCTGTAACAATCTTGGTAACCCATTTACTTAGCCAGCCTGGCTCTTCAACTGGAGCAGATTCTTGTGCCTAAGACTAGGTAAACAGAGTGCATCCTTCTGGAGTGGGTGGGGGGCGGGTGGCGGGGAAAAAGTGGGCATTTTTCCATGTGTCAACAGAGCAAAACAGGACAAAGCTTCACTTCAGCTCCCACAATCAGTTTACACCAGATTAAATACAGACCTTTTTTGATGTAACAGGGGAAGCATCTTCCTTTTCAGGATGAGACTGGGTGTGGTAGAAGGTTGAAACGTTATCTACATGAACCATGGTCAAAAGCGTCAGTGGCAAATAGTATGCTGCTTTTGGACAAACTTCTCCATGCCACTCTCCCCATCTCGTCCTAAAATGTCAGCTTGCCTATAATCTTCTCACATGTTACAACCACTGACATTGTTCCACATGGTATCCTGTAAATGGCACTGAACTATCAACAAAGTGTCTTGTCAAAGTTCATCATGTACTCAGTATAGCCCCAGTTAAAGACTAGTTCCACGATAAATGTACTGGTGAGTATTGAGACTAAGTATGCAACATGTGCAGCCACCTTGAAGGCTGGAGTCATTTCATTAATACCTGCATTGTCTCTCGGCAATAGAGAACAAGCCGTAAATGATGAAATCCCTTTGATGAGTGCAAAATTCACACAAACAAAAACGTGAGGAGAGTAATGATTTCAACATTTTTGGGGGTGTTGGGATCCTCAGAGTGGTCGTAATAGAAACCCATTGCAGCTTGCCTGAGCCTGTTTTGCAAGGGGATGTTGAGGTGTGATGAAATTTTATTGTTCTCTTTTAACAGAAACTTGGCAAATACTATCTATGGCATGCAGAGGTTTGCTTTTATACTTTGTAAAACTGTAACCGATTTCCCAGTAATGGGGCCTCACTTGACAAACAGTCAAACAAGGAATCATGAATTTTTTTTGCGAGTAAGCTCTTCACAACATTGTACTGTAAAAATGTAATTCTTTTGAACAGTTACTCTAACAAGAAGAATGTATGCAAAGGTGTGTGAAGTAACTTGGTGGCTTGCATTGTATCCTCAGTATCAGGATATAAAACTAGAGATTAATTTATAATTCACGCAGATCGTACTTCTCTTATGCAACCCACTGATTGATCAGGAGAACTGCCTCAGGTTGTACATCTATACCCTCCCAGTGCACATGTGGTCAGAATTTAGTTGGAGTCTATGATCATCTAAAGGGGAGTATCGTTGCTTTGAATTAAAATTACCTTTTAAATTATGAGATGAAAGAAAGGAACTAATTATGCCCTTGGACTGAAATGTGAGTGTTTAATGAGCGGTCAGTGAGAAAATAATTTTTCTGTTTCTTTCTAATTGATAACAGTGGACAATAGCTTTGAGCGAACTATGTTAGTGCCACAAAGTGCAGATTCAGTGATAATGATTTGCTGAGGCTTTTAGCAGTGGCATAAGAACATATTATGAAAAATATGGCACACCCCACCTATACTGCACCAAAGTGTCAGGAACTCTGCTATTTCTAGTTTATGTTTGTCTTTCTGTAAGCATTTTCAGTATTGATTTAATCTTCCAAAACTCTTCCAAAATAATACTGCATGATATATTCTGCGGTATTTATTTAGCAGCAAACATAGAGGCTGCCACAATATCCTGTGATAATGAAGGCCTGTTTCAAGATTATTTTGTTTACTGCACTTTCAGTCATCTTTCCCCTCCCCACTACTTTTGGCTCCCACCACCGGCTTGGGTGCCTAGCCTGCATTGTCAAGCACTTTAATACATCCTCCCGGAGTAAAATGAGCTATATAAATGTAAATTGTAAATGTATAATGTTATTCAACAGTTTTGACAAAGTAGCTTTTTAGGATGAGACACTTGTAATGGTTTTGGTCCTGTCTTTCTGGAAGCATGAGATCAAGCAGTTTTAAAGGGGGTTCAAGAGCAGAGAAACCTGAGGGTTCATATACACAGATTTTTGAAGGTAGCAGGCAAGGTTGATAGAGCTGTTAAAAAAGCATACAGGATCCTTAGCTTTATAAAGAGAGGCAAAAGGAGGAAGTTGTACCAAACCTTGAGCTGAGATCTAAACTGGTCAGCTTGAGTATTGTGTCCAATTCTGGGCACCACACTTTAGGAAGGATATCAAGGCCTTAGAGAGGGTGCAGTACAGATTTACCAGAATGGTACCAGGGATGAGGGACTTTAGTTATGTGGAGAGACTAGAGAAGCTGGGATTGTTTTCCTTAGAGCAGAGAAGGATAAGATGAAATCTAATAGAGGTGTTCACATTTATAAGGGATTTTGATAGATTCTCCCAATCTATCAGAGTGGATAGGGAGAAATTGTTTCCAATGGCAGGTGGGTCGGTAATCAGGGGACATAGATTTCAGATAATTGTCAAAAGAACTAGAGGGGAGATGAGGAGAAATGTTTTTACACAGAGAGTTGTTACGATCTGGAATGCATTGCTTGAAAGTGTGGTGGAAACAGATTCAATAAAAACTTTCAAAAGGGAACTGGATAGATACTTGAAGAGGAAAAATTTGCAAGAATATGGGGAAAGAGTGGGGGAGTGGGACTGATTGGGTAGCTCTTCCAAATAGTTGGCACAGGCACGATGAGCCGAATGGCCTCCTTCTGTTCTGTAATATTCCATGATTCTATGATTCTAAGCAGGCCGAAAGGCCTTTCTCATCCAAATCAGTCTTGTGACCATCTGTGAAATCAGTTGATAAAGGGTTCTTGAGAGTGACTCAGGGATGACTATCTCCCTAATTTGTTCTTCCATTGACGCAGCCTGGCGTAGACTGTGTAACCCCCTACTCCCCCACACCGCCACCTCCGGCATCTCCATCCTGGTTGACATCAGCTGGAACTCAGCAGCTAAATCCATGGCCCATTGTTCTATAGCACAGCATGTTGGTTCTCAGATGTAACATAAGGTTGCATTTTTTAAACAAAAAGAAATATGTTTTTTGAAAAGAATGTTATGAACATTATAGCATTTTTGGCAACTGAAGCCTGCCTGCTCCCAAACTGACCTTGTGCAATTGCTGTTTCGCAAGGTAATATAGCCCTTGATCCACTGTCTGAACAAAAGCTTTATTCACTCAAAGGTGCTTTGAAATCCTGCAGATCATACTTGGCAGATTGGTATTCTTTTGCTTGCATCTCCTTGCTATTAATTTCAGTGATAGTCGGGTAAAACTATAATTAACTAAAGTTGCTCAAAACTGGTATTTTTGTTTTGGTTAAGTTGTGATTCTGATTGTATTCTGTCTTGTCGGGATTACAGCAATTCATTACACACGCAGTCATCTCAACTCCACCTGAACCAATCTGGAGATCTGTGATTTTTCGTTTGATTAGGATTATATCCATTGCGGTCAAGAGTGTGACAGAGAGAAGCTTGTGGCATATTTGTAGTAACGTAACTCTGCTTTCGGAAGTATTTCAGCATTTTCAAATGTCATCTCAACCTATAAATTGCCTAAGGAAAGAAGTCAACGTGCTCAAATAGTCAAGTTCAGAGATAGAGATAAAAAAAATCGTAATCCTTCCATTTGATATAGTGTCTTTCACATTGGGAGATGCCCTAAAGCGCTTCACAGGATATATGTAAAGTATAGTGACTGTGTGTTGTGGGGACAAACAGGATAATAAGGTTATTTTGTGTTTTAAGGTCTTCAATTAAACGTAGTTCATTTAGAATACAGCGATGCATTAATTATCTGACATAATGGAAGGCCCTCTCTAAGAATAGTTGTGTTTGGCAGATCTTTGAGATGCCACTGTACAACTGTAATACAACTGTATGACACGTTTTAAAATGCAATGAATATGAAACACTTCTGCTTTAATAAAACATGCTGAAACAATGAAATCTGCAGGAAATTATAGTTAAAATAAAGTTATTTCTGCTGAAAATATTTATGAAATATATTTATATTTGAATGGGATTGGGAGCTTGGGGCTGAGTTTTAGAATAACTCTAAATGCATTGTATTTCAACAGTTTGAACGTTTATCTGTAATCCTTGACTGCCCTCTTCCCCTCCCCCAATAAATTATGCTGTGGTCTCTAGATAGTACTGTCAAGTTGTATGCATTAGCATTGACTTATGTTACTGGATTACCTGGATGAAGGATTCCCCTGACAATCAATAAAGATTTAGAGATTTATTTCTGATC